AATTAAATTAAATTAAATTATGGAAGTATAAACCACGTGATATATTTCTTGAACTTTCACAGAAGCCCCGTCGGCTTCCAATCTAAAGATTTGCCGCATGGATCGCAACTCCGGCTGTGTCACAGGTGGTGATGAAGTCTACTTGTTGTGTGACAAAGTACAGAAAGGTAAATATTGGCTGTGATAATTGTTTTCAGTGTTACATATATACTAAATACCAGTGCCTTGTTTTTCTTAACAAAAATTTTCTCTTCTTGTGTCTCATAGAGGACATTGATGTTATGTTCTATGAGATTGATGTGGAGACTGGCAAAAAAACATGGGAGGCTGGAGGAGTGTTTGCTCCTACAGATGTTCACAGACAGGTGCTGTTTTCTGACCTAATATCAGAGCATAATTTAATGGCTGAATAGCATAGTCAACAAGTTTCAACTGCCCATGAGAATTCTTAAACCATCCACTGGATTTTACATAGACCAGTTGTACAGGTTTTTGCTTATTTCATAGAGCAGAAAATCAATTGAATAGCCAGACACCTGTTTTGTTGTTGTTGTTGTTGTTGTTTTTTTTAAACTTAGATATCCTCATGGTGACCAAGAGATTGCTATATGTTTTCTTCGAGAAAGTGACCGGGAGTCATCAAGCAGTGACCTTATGGGCAAAAGCTAGTCCTGAGCAGACTGACATGAAATGTTTCATGTACTATTAATATGCCCTCGTCGTGAGAGATGCGTACAAGTCTTTCTGTCCTTCTGAGTATCCAGTACAGCCGAACCTTTCCTCAAAGACACTTTTCTAAGACAGACACCTCTATCTCATGGACATTTAACTTGGTTCCTGAGAAACTAGCCAGAGTACATTTTATCTTTATCTAGAGCTATAGGTTGGACACACATGTAGCCATAATTAACACAGAAACTCAGCGTCATGTATGCACCTTTAACTTTGTGATGTCCATACTAAAGAGGTTTACACATAGTTGATGTACAGTGTACAATTGGAACTGTTAAGGATGTATATCTGTATGAATACTTTTGTGATTTTGTCATTGATATTTCTGAACTGATTTAGGTTGCGATAGTTTTCAAGACTCCTGCGTACTGGAATATTGCTACTGAAAGGCCTGTCAAGGTGCACCTGGAATTGAGGCGCAAGTCTGACCAGGAAACAAGTGAACCAGTGGAGTTTACTTATCAGCCACAACTATTTGGTATGTGGTCAACTTATTTTCAAGTAGTCGCTATCAAGTAACAGATAACATGTAGTTATAATTACAGCTGTTTCTTGCTGTTTCTAGTAATAAAATTATATCAAACACAAAACACTGTGTTCATGCCTCCAAACACCGAGAAGAGAGTTGAAAAAATGATGTGCTGTGGAGTATTTTTGATGAACTTTGAGATGTTTGGAAAAATGTCTTTTGAGTGTTTGATATATCTTCACAATCGAAACTTAAAGTAAGGAGAAAACAGAGAATTAAAATTGTAAAAATGTATGCTAATTAAGATCAGATATCCAAACACTGTCATGGTCATGATTTGCTTTGTTTAAACTTGGTGAAGTATTAATGAATTTGAGAATTTTCTTCCTCTATCAATTGCTGTTGGCATTGAATTGTCATGCCCTACTATCAATGATATACCTTTAGACAATAGAAATTATGCATGCAGAATTCCTTTATACTGATAATTAAGAGTGCTATAATAGCATCATCCTTCTGTACTACAGTTTGTACATGTTGCCAACTTTGCGAGCATTAGTATGAAAGAATTTCAATGCTCCGCAAAGGAAAAAGCTTTAGGCTGCTGCCATAGTTACAGGTACAAGCCTGAAATGATAAATGAGGGTTTTGTTGGACTCAACTTTGTATTACAGTGTATATGATAAAATTATCAAGGCCCTACCTACTGTTTGTAAGCCTTTGGCATTGTGGGATAACACAAATCTTGGCCTTGGTAACTGCAATTGAAGGCTTTCGTGCAAAAAGAGTTTTTTGGGCCGATTTTTATTTTTTGTAGGATTGAGCTAATTTTTGGCAGACTGACTTGTTTTGAAATGAAAAGCATTGTTGCATAATTGTTTTTGTTGATTTGTGCTTTGTTTTCGAGAAATAATGTATGCAAAAAAACTCAGTTTTCCAAGCAGCATCTTATGGAGCGAATCCTTCGAAGGTGGATTTCAACATGACGTGAGCTTAGACGGTTACTTTTAGCAGCTTCAATGTTCAGCACGTTTTTTTTTTTTTAAATAGATGTTTTTATTTTTGAAAGAAGTAGAGAAATAGACTGGAAAAAAAAAAATTGACCGACCTAGTATCGAACCAGTGTCACGACAAAACAAACTCAAATCTGGCCTGTTCAGTGCCTTATTTGCTTGCGCTAAAAAAGCAACAGTAAGAGAATAGTGTAATTATATGAATAATAAATCTTGTATCAGTTCGAACAACTAGCGGCAAATGCCACGCTTCGGTGACTTCATCATTTAGCATAACAAAGGGTTTCCCTTGATTTTCATTCAGCAAAAGATCTCCAAAAGATACCCTCAGAAAACTGAGTTTTTTGCATACATTTCTTGAAAACGTGCAAATCAACAAAGACAATTATGGAACGATGCTTTTCATGTCAAAACAAGTCAGTCTGCCAAAAATTAGCTCAATCCTGCAAAAAAATAAAAATCGGCCCCAAAAGTATATACGCCCTTTTTGCATGAAACCCTTCAATTCTTAATGATGGCATTCTGACCAAATAAATATTAACTTGTTTCCTTATTGGAGTGACCTAGTCTTTTCCCCCATCGAATCGTGATAATTACATGCATGCGTCATATTTTTCTTATCAGACAAAGAGCAGATTGGTGCTAAAAGACGCAAGAAAATCCCTCATTTCTCTGACTACTTCAGTGGTGGTGGTGGTGGAGGTGGACCTCCTGGCATGGGCGGGGCTGGTGCTGGTGGTGGGGGTTTTGGTACTTTTGCTCCATTGGGCTTACTGGGTTCTGCCCTTTGGTTTGCCAATCCAGGCACTTCACAGTCTAACAATCAAGGTGAATTTTCACACTGATCATTAAATGGCTCTTGTTTCTAACCACTGAACTTTAACTAACATGCAGCATGTGCGTTTGGGGTGTAGAACACCATCAGTATACATGTACAGAACCCCAAGTTTTCAAACACTAGAATATTTTTAACCTCTGATTATTTGAAACAATTGTTTGCTTCCTTGGTGAGGAAAGCATGAAGAACATTACCGTCGATTGTGCTAACCACTTTCCATTTCACTAGGTGATTTAAAAAACTGGGTTTCCACCATAATTAAAGGCACATACATTGGGGTGTACATGTTCAATGTACACATCAGGGCTCGAAATTAACAAATGTAAACTCACAAAATGCAAGTGATTTTGATAATCTGTGAGTGAGAAAAATATCCACTAGTAAACGTTTGCGAGTTAGAATCATCCATGTCTCACAAACATTTGGAAAGATTTTGCTAGTGGTCTCACCAGCTTGCTAGTGGAAAAAATCCCACTAGCAAAGCTTTGCAAGTGGATTAAAGAGTTAACTTTGAGCCCTGCACATAACATATGATATTAACATGTGAACTAGAGACACTGGCTACATGTCTGAAAAATAAACCTAAAATATGTTCCTACTACAGTAACAGGAGGCTGAGTAGTCAGCCATTTGCAGTTGACATCATCTTGACTGTTGTGTTCAACTCAAGCTGCATGCATGTGCAGTGGTTAGAGCAGAGGTCCAGATGGCTGGATTTTTTCCTTAAAAGCCCTGGTCATTTCACTTGTTAGGCTAATTTTAATACTATGTATTTGCTGTATTGTTCTCGAAAATATTCCTACCCTTCCAAAAATCTTTCTTGGGATATGGATATTTCCTGGAACTGCATATTGCAAGTATTGTAAGATCAACAACATTTAAGGAACGCTCCATGCTTAAAATGTCTTAACAAAGATGGTGAAATTTAACTTGGTGAAGTCATGTTGACGCTTATTTCTTTTTGCAGGAGGCTCAGGAGGTACAGGTACCTCTCAACAAGGACAATCGCATTCTTCTGGACAGTCACAAGCATCTGGACAGTCACACCAAGCAGGTTAGATGTGTGTGACATGTGACAGCAGACAGTCTGCTGTGACTCGTTAGATCTGATTTTGGTTGATTCAAAATGATTGGTATTTTTATTTAACATCGGAATACTTTGGAAACATTACAAAACAATTAATATACAATATACTACTTATTGAAGCAGAGAAGATTATCAGGAACTAAAAGCACAGTTAAGTTGGAACAACATTTAAAATAGCAATTTAAAAACAATATTGTATCATGGAGCTAGTGACAAAAATTCAAGTAGGATATTTTATTAGTTTAGGTCAGTGATGGTCTTTGTTGAGAAATATATGCTCATGTGGCATTCATAAAGGGTAAGCTATCCAGCTGTAGTTTATTGAAGATGATGCTTCAAACATTTCAAAAAGCAATATTCTTGTTTAAAAAAAATAACAAGATTACTGACTGTCTTGTCACAGATCTTAGTGAATTAGCATGGAACCTTGCTGAGAAGTCAGCTGCTGCCATGCGTGATTATGCTGCCACTGGTGATATGCGGTATTTACTTGCTGCTCAAAGACATTTGACGGCAGTACAAGATGATAGTGGAGACACGTAAGTTATTACTGTCGAACAGCCTGCATTTGATGCTTACATCTGTGTTATAAACAGCTACAAATAGCTTGGTGATCTTTAGACACTAAGCCCTGGAATGAGAAGTCTAGTCTCAGCAGTTGTGAATAAACCATTAATTAAACATCTTCTTGTACTACTACTAATAATAATACATAATACATAATATTTTAAGAGGAGGCCTCCAATCACCATAAGGTGGTTTTCAGGAGGGTCCTCTGAGAAAATAAATGTTAAACCTTTAAANCTTTCTTGGGATATGGATATTTCCTGGAACTGCATATTGCAAGTATTGTAAGATCAACAACATTTAAGGAACGCTCCATGCTTAAAATGTCTTAACAAAGATGGTGAAATTTAACTTGGTGAAGTCATGTTGACGCTTATTTCTTTTTGCAGGAGGCTCAGGAGGTACAGGTACCTCTCAACAAGGACAATCGCATTCTTCTGGACAGTCACAAGCATCTGGACAGTCACACCAAGCAGGTTAGATGTGTGTGACATGTGACAGCAGACAGTCTGCTGTGACTCGTTAGATCTGATTTTGGTTGATTCAAAATGATTGGTATTTTTATTTAACATCGGAATACTTTGGAAACATTACAAAACAATTAATATACAATATACTACTTATTGAAGCAGAGAAGATTATCAGGAACTAAAAGCACAGTTAAGTTGGAACAACATTTAAAATAGCAATTTAAAAACAATATTGTATCATGGAGCTAGTGACAAAAATTCAAGTAGGATATTTTATTAGTTTAGGTCAGTGATGGTCTTTGTTGAGAAATATATGCTCATGTGGCATTCATAAAGGGTAAGCTATCCAGCTGTAGTTTATTGAAGATGATGCTTCAAACATTTCAAAAAGCAATATTCTTGTTTAAAAAAAATAACAAGATTACTGACTGTCTTGTCACAGATCTTAGTGAATTAGCATGGAACCTTGCTGAGAAGTCAGCTGCTGCCATGCGTGATTATGCTGCCACTGGTGATATGAGGTATTTACTTGCTGCTCAAAGACACTTGACGGCAGTACAAGACGATAGTGGAGACACGTAAGTTGTTACCGTCAAACAGCCTGCATTTGATGCTTACATCTGTGTTGTAAACAGCTACAAATAGCTTGTTGATCTTTAGACACTAAGCCCTGGAATAAGAAGTCTAGTCTCAGCAGTTGTGAATAAACCATTAATTAAACGTCTTCTTGTACTTGCAAACAACATGGGCATAAAGCCTTGCTTTTTTCTTGTAAAAACACTATCTACTGTAGAAATTTATTGTATAAACTAGGTCCTTTCCCATTTTTACTATTTGGATTCATGACATTTTAAAGAATTTTTGTTTACAGCTTCTGATGTGTCACTGAGTTAATTATTTTCATATTTTAGTGAAAGCCCACGTCTTTTTCTCTTTAACAGTTTAGACCAAGAAGTGATAGTAAAGTTATTGCACATTTACAAGCTGTTTTTCTTGTTGTGCCTTACCTTGTACCGTGTCTTCCAACAGTGCTCTTCACCTTGCTGTGATCAATTCCCAACAAGAAGTAGTTCAGTGTCTTATTGACATCATGGCTGGTCTGCCAGAGTCTTACATCAGCGAATATAACTTCTTGAGACAGGTAAGTCATGCTATTTATCACATACATTGCATGAGTATGATTTACATGATTGGTTTCCTGTGGTATCTTTAATTTGATTTTACGTGGTGGGTAACCTGTGGTTTTTGTTTCTTTGATTTGCATGATGGGTGCCCTGTAGTATTTTGTTACTTCACGTGCATGATGGGAACTGTGTGGTATTTTGTCTGTATTTTTTCCCTCTACGTTCGGCTTTGACAATCACAATAGACAACTAAGGTTGTATATTTATCAAATATTAAGAATAGCTGTTTTTCAGTTGCCAGAGAGAGTAGTAGAAATACACAAAGCGTAGTAACCATCTTTTTTTACTCATCTCTGGTTGGTTACCATTCCTTCATGTTTTCTCTTTCCAGTCTCCTCTTCATCTCGCTGCCATCACTAAGCAACCTCGCATGTTAGACTGTTTGTTAAGAGCGAGTGCCAATGTTAGATCACGTGATCGTCATGGAAACACTTCCGTGCACATTGCTTGTATGCATGGAGATGCCGTGTGTTTGAAAGCTCTCTTGAACTATAATGTGTCAAAAACAGTTCTAAACTGGCAGAACTACCAAGGTAAGTGCTGACACAAGATTGCAAGTTTTATCAGTAACTGAAAATTAAATATAATTAGGTTTGTGGTGATGAGTGAAACGTAGGTTTTTGAACTTTTGGATAATTAAGACCCCATTGTAGGTGGAGGGTGCCGTTAGCCTGGCTTAAAAACCCTTAAATTCATTGACTTTGATTGAGGATTGATTTTTGTTGCAAACTGGCACTGCACCATACGATGGTTCCTTCAGTACAAAAATTCAATTTTTTTTTTCCTTTGCTGATGATGTGCCCTGGTTGAATCTTTGAAGATGAAGGTACATTTGTTCTATCAAAGTCCAATTCTTGACGAAAGAAGGAGGAGATTCGAATTAATACACCAGAGAACATAAAGTTATGCTCTGAATAAAACGAAAGGAGAAATGCAACCTTTAGTTGTGAAGGATTAAAGAGGTGAAAACAATGATGAAGTTCCTCAAGGCAAAGGCCATGCCTAGATAGAAGAAATACGATAACATGCACATGGAGAATGTTCCGTAAAGCATGATAAAACTGTGCAAAAATAAACGCAAGTGAGTTTGTGAACATCGACAGTTTGTTCATAATAGACGTTGTTGTTCTCAGGTCTGACTCCAGTGCATCTAGCCGTCCTGGCTGGCAGTAAAGATGTCCTTAAACTTCTAAACTCGGCTGGTGCCAACATGAGTGCTCAGGTATGACGATATTCTAAGCTTTTCTTATCAGGCGCTTTTTTTCTCTTAGAGTTTCTGCCTTACATGTAGTTTGTACTGACATGTTTAGTACAAATTTCTGGTACGACCAATCTACAATACAAGAGGTCTGGCCAAGCTTGAGTTCGAAGTCAACAAGTTGCGTGTTTAGCGCGCGTGAATGCGTGTAAAATGCGTGTAATATGAGTGTACTTGTAATGCAGCAGTAGTCGCGATCACTGCAGTATAAAAATAGAGAGATACTAGTCACCTTTATGCAGAGAGGGTCAAAGGTCTTTTTTCGATCTAGACTTGGGCTCTGATCGCGGAGAAGTATTAAATCGCGCTTGCTATTTTTTTTTCTAGGACGGTACAAGTGGTAAAACTCCACTTCATCATGCCGTTGAACAAGATAACTTGGCCGTGGCTGGGTTTCTCATANCTATTGAGAAACGTCAACCGTATCAACCAAACCGGTTGCGGTTGAAACGGTTGATCCCAATAGAACATGACCTAACAGTTATTTGTAATCTGTCAGGTGACATGGACAAGCTGGATCCTTATGTCCGACGGAAAATGGCCCAAAGACTAGATCCCAGTATTGGAGCGGACTGGCGTGAACTAGCCAAGAGACTGGGCCTAGGAACATTGGAGAGTGCGTTCGCTATACACTCAAGCCCGACCACACAAGTGTTGGCACAATATGAGGTAATATGCGTTTATTCTGTTATGAATGGTTAATCCTTGGGACATGAGTAGCTGGCTGGATAATACCAACCAACTAAAAGAAAAACGAACGGAAAAAAACTCGAAAATGAACGAACCAAAGAAGGAGTTTAAATAAGAGCGAGTTTAAATAGTATGTTGTGACGGGAATCATGTATCGAAAAGCAAGGGTTGCCTGAACATTTGAGCTTATTTCTTTCCTTTTTTGTAGGCTGCTGATGGTAGTATCAAGACTTTACGGCAGGTTCTTCGTGACATGCGCAGAGGAGATGTGTTAGAGATCCTTGATGGCCGCAAGTCTCCACTATCACACGACTCGGGATTTGATTCAGGTCTCGGTTCCCAGTCCCTGTCGGCTTACAGATCAGAAGGTGAGGGCTACCATTCTCACAAAAGGATGCTGTAAAACTTAAACAATTGATCTGTCTGTCAGTCGGTCTGTCGGTCGGTCTGTCTGTCTGTCTATGTGTCACCCAGTCAGTCAGGCAGGTAGGTAGACAAGCAAGCAGGCAGGCAATCATGGGCTTAATTACGAGTTCGTCAACTGCTGTGAAGTCAAAGTACATTTTATATTCTTTGATTTGGGAAGCGTTTGAGAAAGTCCAAGAGAACCAACAATAAACGAAGTCCTTTTGACTCATCGTTTAAAAATAAAACCCAGACCACACTAGAGAAAGATGAAGGCTTATTCATTTTCGTCCCGTGATCAACCAANTCAGGTCTCGGTTCCCAGTCCCTGTCGGCTTACAGATCAGAAGGTGAGGGCTACCATTCTCACAAAAGGACGCTGTAAAACTTAAACAATTGATATGTCAGTCGGTCTGTCTGTCTGTCTATCTGTCACCCAGTCAGTCAGGCAGGTAGGTAGACAAGCAGGCAGGCAGGCAATCATGGGCATAATTACGAGTTCGTCAACTGTAAAGTAAAGTAAATTTTATATTCTTTGATTTGGGGAGCGTTCGAGAAAGTCCAAGAGAACCAACAATAAACGAAGTCCTTTTGACTCATCGTTTAGAAATCAAACCCAGACCACACTAGAGAAAGATGAAGGCTTATTCATTTTCGTCCCGTGATCAACCAAAGAAATCTCTAAACTAAATGACTTTTCTTTATTCAGACACTGTTTGTAAATCACATGCAGTTGGCGTTTTATTCGGCAAATCTTCTGGCTCACATGGTCTCCGTTTTTCTCTCTACAGAGTTGGCGTCTTATGAGGCCGGGAGCTCCAGTGTTCCGTCTAGTTCTTCATTACAGAAAGGAACAACAAGTCTTGAGTCTACTCGAAAGGCTGGGGGCTATCGACCAATCAGGCAACACCAAGATGTGTTTTAACTCGCAGCAATGGATTAGATTAGTGACGGCACGAATTTGTTAATCCTCAGTGGCAACATGCATTGCGTGACAATGTAACGTCAGATGCCGACAATGTACTATGTGTGACGCAACTCTAAGTCAACTTGCCGCATAACACAGCCGTGAATTGTGCAATGTGTGACGAGCGGTCAGCTCTCTGGAGTGTTGCGTTACTTCTCCTGATCACGTGATATTCATAGCTCCATAGATAGTTTACATAGACTTCAGACAAAAGAGAGGATTTTCGTTGCGTCGAGTTGATATTAAAAAAGAAAATGTGCTAAACTTTATAATTATTATTGTTTATTCCTTACGCAAACAGTGTTTAATTTCTACTTGGTCTATATCAATATTATGTAATCGCAAGTTTTGTCGTGACTTCAAAAGTCAGTTTTGTTGTAAACCTCTGTAAAATTAATTTGTGTGCCATTAATAGTACTTATTCATCCGTTGATTCTTTATCCATTACTCGTTTTGTAACTATTTTTTATGGGTAAGTTATTTGGACCCACTAAGGCTGGTGTTAACAGAAGTGTAGCAGCTCTCGTAAGCTTGTAATTCTCTTGATTGTTAGCAGCTGTTATTGTTTTAGGGCTAGGGGCATTGTTTCTGCTGTTTGTTCTATTGTTCTCTCAAAGGGTAGCAAGCCACTCATGTGAGACCTTACGAGAGCTGCTAAATCACCTGGTGTTAACGAGGAAGAATGGATCCTTGTTTTCTGCCATGGACTGTCTTTAAGTTTTTGCGTTGCCGAGATGAAAATGTCTGCCGGTGATCTTACAGTTTTTAGGTTAGTGTATGGGTAATGGTATATGTAGATGTACCTAAACCTCCACAATGTAGTGATGATAATAAAAATACCATACTAAGCTTTAATGACTTGAATCAATAAATACACTGAAAGTGATAAAATAGATTACAAAACTTGCCTTGATCTTATTGTGTCATTCAATAAAACTAGTAACCACAACTTCAGTGGCGTCTTCCTCGCAATCAAAGCCGAGCGGGACCTAGAATTGAGACTTTGAAACTATCGTACCGAGGCCCCGACAGTTAAAAGACTTGAGTGGGTCTGGGGATAGAAGAGAGGTCCGCGGTAAAAGAATGCAAGTTTGCTGCGGGTTAACTCGTAACTCTCGTGGGAGATGTTGAAGCTGATCCTGGTTGACGAAAAATTGTTTTGAGGAAGTAGCTCGTTGATCTGTCTTCGTCTGTTCTTGTGTTTGGTGATTTTGTCGATCAAGCGGTGTAGCATTGGTCGGATAACTCGCTTGAATCGTTTGTTAAGGTAGCCGTTAATAACAAGGTTGAGTAAAATTCCGCTTTGCATCACAACGACTGCGAGCACTTTGACACTGTGTGACAGCTGACCTGTAAACATCGCAGTGGTAACAATGCCAAGGTATGGCAAGTGACATGCGCACAACGTTCCCACGATTAAGACAATCATTTGAATGTTCTTGGCCGATGTGCGAATGTTCCTTTCTGCCATTCTCCGGCTGCTCGACCCTAAGCTATAAAAATCGGGTGGTAAATTTTCCTTCTTCTGGTGAAAATAAATAGCTAAGTTAGCGTAGATACACAGCGCCCCGAAATGCAGAAAGCCAAGGAATGTAACTTGTCCGGCCGCAACACCTCGTGGATGCGTGATGTGAGGCCTGCCGTTTCCTTCCTGTCGGTAAAATGCCACAAGACCTGCATACACTGCAGAAATAATCCAGGTCACACTGATACACACTACAGCTTGTTTGACAGTCACACGGCAGAGCTTTTCTCCACATAGAACCAAACCGTATCTTGTGGCACTGATAATGAACAATGCCTGGAAATAGACACTGATTGAATACTCTTCCACGAAACATCTCGCGCTCTGTAGAAACTCCGCGGCTTCGTTGACCTGTATAACATCGCATATCAATGTGAACAGTCCAGAAACGAGTCCCAGAACAAGTCCGGCAGCGCACAGATTCATCAACGGCATAGCTGAAGATACACGAAGCTTTCTCTCCTTGTAAACGGCGTAAAACAAAGTAGAAGATACGAGGGATGTAGCCATGGCGAACACTAAAAAAACAGTAATGGCGAAAGCCACGCTGAAGGCGTCTACTGTGTTGAGATTCATGCTTAGTTGATGAAGTTCTGGCAGGAAACGCTTTCACTTCTCGAAGCAATAATGAAGTGTATGATAATTAGCAAACGAAAGGTCGGATTTCTGTTATAGTGGTAATACAAGAGCGTGCCGTGCCTCTCCTACATCCGCACGTGACTTTGGACATGTGCACAAAGGAGGCGTGAAAGAACAGAAGAAAAAGAATGCGTAATTACTATCTTTTCTTGTTCTCTCGGTATTTTTGTAGTTCGCGAGTTATGCCTCGTGATTAAAAATTTAGCTGAATAGTAAGAGCTTTCTGAGTCTTCAGTCTGAGAAAATAATTTAGAATACGGTGTGCTCGATAGAGGTTTCTATCACCGCGGCGGCAAGGCGCGACCCAGTATAAAAGTCGAGAGAAACCAGGAGCGAACCGTCTGATCGCCTTGACATAAAGCACTGATCAATCTATCAAACAACAACAACAACAACATTCTTTTGTTCTAGAAACTCCACAAAAATGCGAAGTTGAAACCATTTTCAAATACAGGCGTGCGCCTTCAGTATTTCGTGAATGACGAGTTTTGATCAGCAGACGTGTTTTTAAAATTTGCACTGGCGGGCCTTTCTCAGGTAAGGGCCACTATGGAGAAAGCGTTAAAGGCACGAAAACGTATTCAAAACGATAGGCTGAAAACGTCCGCTTATCGGTTACATTTTCCAGCCTTCCCCGTTTTGCAAGAATGTCGAGTAAAATAGAAACGTAGGTCTTTAGCTGAAAATGAAGGACTGAATCAGAAGCAATGATATTAGACTTATCCAGAATCAAGAGAAAATGACGGGACAGTTGTCCCGTCATTTTGCGTCATTTTTCTCAAGCGAAATTCCAGGTCGTAAAGCGAAAATGTCTGCGCTCAAGACTTGAGTACCGACGAAGAACGTGAGGTAGAGTGCTTACATCCGCGAACGACTTTAGGCAACATAACGATGATAAAAATAACTCACGGGTCCATTACGGCTTTATGGTTTCCTTCTAACAACAGTTTTGCTTTCTAAAGAAGCTTGACAACCAAGTGGATAGGTTGTCAGCTTGGTCAGTCTTATCTAAGTCTATTATTGAAGCCCATCTAGATAAACAATGTCAACAGTCCATTACTTTTTCGAAGTTTTACAAAAGGGCTTAATAAACACGTAGTCATGATATGTCTCTGACTATTGTGCCACATATTAATTGCACCTTAAAACAAAAGGCTGTTGTGAGTAAAGTGTTCATCCGGTCTTCTACACGAGATGTTTACTTGTCGATGACTCTTTTTGAAAGTTGTCTACGAATTTGGCGAAGCAACAAGAAAGTACTTGACCGAGGTTAATAGCTCGCCACGACAAGGTAAAGAATCTTTGTCGTTTGAGCAGTAAGTACATAGAAGCTGAATTTTAAACGTATTTGTCCCAAATATCGATGAATGAAAACGGCTTGGGCATTCAAATTTGAGTGCCAAATTACCGACGTTCAGTTTGACCTTTCTCAGATAAACTGAAACCTGTTGTCACGTTTCAATACTCTTTCGTTTTTTTCCAAAACAAAACTGCCGATCTCAGCGCTGAAACGAAAGTTCACGAGTTTCGACTCAGCACTGAATATGATCCATATGAGCAACAATCTGTCAGTGGTGAGCTGGTCATGAAATTCTCAGCTGACCAAGAGCGTTTGATATCAAAACAACGATTTGAATTCCAAGTCTTCCTGAACATTTTCAATTTCAGAATGGCAAGTCTGAACTATGCAAAGATTGTGTGGCTATAGATTTTATTAAACAGTCATAAAAATCGAGTAGATATTTCAAAATGAGGCGACAAAGAAAAAGAACGGAGGGAAAACTAACCACTTTGACATTCAACTGGCTGCCGTTGTAAGCAGGTTTCATATTCGCTCTGCCAGCGTTTTCAGACGTATGCAGGCGCTGTGTACAAACTCCTTCTCTCATTAAGTTGTTTAAAAAGAAAACAACTGTTTTCTATTTTCAAAGTTTGACAAAATATAAAAAAGCAAAGCGTGAAGTACGGTTTTGAACCGTGCACAAGCTGCCTCCTGACTGAGCCGATCAAATGCAGTCAAATATTTCCCATAGTTTCTCATTCTTATATAAACTTAAACCTTATTTTGCTGTGTTTAACTGATCCATGACTCATGATAACTCAGCTCAGTGGAGATCGAGACAAAAGCCGAAACTCTACAGCTTTAAATATCATTTTCCAAGCTGGCGCTGTGGAAGAAGAAAGCATGGGAAATTTCCCATAAATAGTATCTGTTTCACTTTCCAGCCATAAATTTTAGTTGAGCTGTTCAGATAAGTATATTTCAGTTTATACCTTCATATCACAGAGCTCCAGTCGACTTTCTTGATGACCCTTGTTATTCACCACTGGAAAAGACGTCAGAAGATTTACCATCGAGTGGCCCAGTCGACAGTAAGTAGTCCCACAATTTGTTTATCTAAATGAGTCTGTTGTAAATTTAGCTTCGCGTTCCCAACACAGTTCGCAACTTAACCCACCGATAAACCAATGTTTTCGTGATGTGGATAGTTTCGATTTGACGGTGATGTTTTTAACGCCAAATCTTAACGCAACATCTTTCGCGTTGAAAATCGATATCGTGTAACATGGTGCACAGGGCAACTTAAAACAAGACTTCGTTGCGGCGACATGTTTCAGGTTTTTGAAAGCCATTAAAAAACCTGCAACACTGTTGCCCGAATTTAGAATGTTGCGTAAAATTCGTCTCGTTTAACATCATCTTTGCAAGGAGTTCAATTTTTCCGCGAGAAATCGTTGTTGCATTTGTCCCGTGAAACACCGCCTTTACTATTATAGGACGTCAGCTATGTAACTTTTACATACCAAAGATATTCTTCGAAGAATTGAATGTTAAAATTTTTTGTCAGAGTCAACTTCGAAGCTGATTGCTGTGGAAACTGCGGAAGCCGATAAGGGACAATCCCAAAATATTTACGAAATCCGAAAAAAATATTTTCAAAATCCGAAAAAAT